CCCCCCCCCGCAGCGTCTGTTCCCAGAGAAGCTGGCCTCCTGCCATTGGCTGCCCACCGTGTCTGAAGCGGTGTGTAAGAAGCCGTGGGTGCGCCTCCCGCTGGCCATCCTCTCCACTGCTGTCATCCTCATCATTGCCGTCTTCAATCTGGTAATTCGGGTCTCACTGCTCCCTGAAGCCCCCGGCCATTCAGCTAATGATAATGCAATTACATGCATTACAGTTAAAATATCATTCTGCGAAGGACTATTGTCATGTAATTACAATTACATTACATTATGGTATATTGTTGTCCTAAGCACTATTATAATGGAATTACAATAATATTATAATTGCAATTATTAAATTACGTAAATAGTATTTATGGTATTTATGGAATCATGAAAATTACTGCCGATCAAATTTCCAACACAATGCAGTTAACGGTACTTAGAAAGGAGGTGAATTCATTCTCTGAAGTCACCTCTGAAATGCCCCGCCCAGTGCTTCATGAGTCACCTGACTCCGTGTGAGGCCAACAGCACGTCCAGCATCACTTTCCTCAATGTCAGCCAGCTGCTGGAGATGGAGGACCTGCTGTTCTACCTGCCTGTGAGTAGAGCCCAGCTCACTGGACCCTGTAGCCCACGACACGCTTTACACGGATCCCCGCATCAGGATGATGACAGAGACGGGAAGTGATTAATTTGCACCAATAAGAACAGTGTATGTACAGGAATTATCACGTGTTGGCAATGAGCAGTGCTGATGAACCTTTACCATTTCTGGCTGGATAATTCATTTCATATTTGATCTGCAGTCGAGATGCTAACAGAAGTCATGCTTATCCTGTACTGGGCGCGCCGCTGTGTCCTGTCAGACTAACTTGATTCTCCCACCTCCTCCAGTACTCCGTGTACTGCTGTCTCCTGGCTCTGATCGCTTGTGGAGTATTCCTGAGGGTCAGCTTTGAGCTCAAGCTGGCCTTCCTCATCCTGGCCTCCACGGCCTATTACATCATCATCCTCAGTGCCGGGGACCATCTATTCCAGTGCTACAGTGGTATCCTGTACCACCATTGCCACGGCAGCAACAGCAGCAGGTACGTTGCTCAGGCGCAGCCGCTACAGGCTGCTAATTTGATTAAAATGCCTACCTACATTGTTTAGCGTCAGCTAGCAAAATATGTTGTGAGGTGTCATCACTGCGTTTGGCGCTAATTCATCATGATGGGTAGCTGCCATTGGTAAATTATTCATTGAATATGGCAGCTGCTCTTGTGCACAGTGACTTCCTTATCTGGTGCTTTTATCTGTTTACATAGATACCAAATTTCGGTATATTCAGCCTGCTAGCTTTGTCTAGGATAGTACAGATGCTGTGGAACCCACTGTACTGTATGTGTCACACTGGATGTTCACCCAGCACTTTCTCCATGATGTTTATGGCTGGTTTGATATGCGTGGATTGCATAACTCTTTGATAATCGCTCAAGCGATTTTGAATGGCTGTAGGATGAGTTCTCCTCGCACTCAGTGCCACGGGCCAAGATCGTAGGTCTGACCCTTTAGCTGCCGCGCCACCTGCTGGCAGCACACCAACACTGGTATTTTCTGCCCCTCACGCAGCAATGCGTCGTACAGAGACGTCCTGGCGTACCTGGGCCTGGTGAAACACCCCCAGGTCATGAGCTGCATGTACATCACCTTGTTCCTGGTCACCATGCTCATCATCATACGGCAGGTGAGGACACCCCCTTCCATGCAAGATCACGTCCCCCCCCCATCCTGATTTTCTCCTCAAACTTTGGGCAGAACGAGTACTGCTGCCGGCAAGATTTCCTGTTGAAGAAAAAGAACCGCACGGAGCAGGATGAGATCGAGACCCGGGAGAACCTCAACCGGCTGCTGCTGGAGAACGTGCTTCCGGCCCACGTGGCCACGCTCTTCATCGGGGAGAACAAAAAAAATGAGGTGGGACTCCTCACAAACACTGTTTTCACTGAAAGGCACAAGGTAGGTTCCTGGCGAGGTCGGCTCCGCGTCCGGCGTGACCCATTCCACCGCCTCCATGCCCCTGCCCTCCGCTTTGGGCTCCCAGAACCTTCCGTCCACACTGATGGCTGCCTCCGTGCTTTCAGGAAACCTTGGGTCGTTCTCAGAAACATGACTTGGCTGAAGAGCGTACAGTTGGCCGTGCTGAACATGTGTTGGCACACCAGCTTTCTGTGGCTGCGAGCTTTAAATCGAGCCTTTGTCTTAATGAGACCAGAACCAGCCAAACATATCCAAAGGGTTGTTTGCCGGTGAATTTACTTGCTCGCTTTCAGTTGGTATTTCCCAGAGAACTACCCAGATTTCTCAGCGTGACAGAGAGGAACGGCGTGTCCCATTGCTGTGCCACCTCCATCCGTGCTGTTCCCGTGCTCTATGCAGAAACACTCATTTTGTGGGAGTATTTTTATGAATGAGCAAGCCCGAGTTGTTGTGTAGACGAGTGGGATGGAAGGAGGACCTTGTTTGTGCTGTTTTTTTCCTTTATCATGTTGGCGGTTCTGAAAAATCCGCATGAGGCAGGATGGCGTCACTGCAAGCTAAACGCCTCGCTCCGGCCTGTTCCCTCGCGGTCTGTGGCTGACGCTTTTCGAACGCTTCCATGAATACAGCCACAAAAACCGGGAGAGACTGGGAGCCAGTCGCAGTCAGAGCGGAACCTGACTGGGAAGCCAACAGGATATCGGCAAGCAGGGACAGGCATCTGTGGACTGTTATTTTTTTATTTATTTTATATTATTTATTACATTTCTTTTTATTTTATAGTTTATGAATAAGCCAATTTTATCCATATATAAAGGCTTATACTTCTCCTTTTTTCCTTCAGATGAATATTTTACTAAAACACTTCGGGTAGTATCTTGTCATGGATACAACACGGTCCTTCAGTTCTGTATTAGGAGACTAGGGCATTAACCACTTTGCCACCTGCTGGTCCATTGCCTGTGGGACTCATTAGCTGTTTATGAATTGCATATATGCTTTTCTTGTCTACCATTCCTGATGTACATTGAATAGAGGCCATCTTGGTGTATGTACCTGGATTGCTGTGGCTTCTTTGTGCCGCCTGCATGGTCTCTCATCCTGCTGTGTGACCTGCCTCTTGCTGTGTGACCTGCAGCTGAGAGCTGACCCTGTCCCCGGCCCTGTCCCCGGCCCTGTCCCCGGCCCTGTCCCCTTGTCCTCGCTTTCAGGACCTTTACTACAAGTCGTACGACTGCGTGTGCGTGATGTTCGCCTCGGTACCCGACTTCAAGGAGTTCTACACGGAGTGCGACATCAATAAGGAGGGCTTGGAGTGTCTGCGGCTGCTCAACGAGATCATCGCCGACTTCGATGAGGTCGGTACCTGTCAGCGCGTGGGTCCCTCTTTCTGTTCGACGCAGACGCCTCAGAGGAAGTGACCGTGGCCTGCTGTGTATCCTCTTCCCGCAGCTGCTGTCCAAACCCAAATTCAGTGGGGTAGAGAAGATCAAAACCATCGGCAGCACCTACATGGCAGCTGCTGGGCTCAGCGGCACCCTGGGGCAGGAGACCAAACGGGTACACCCTCATCTCGGGTCACATGGCCACAATGTCACCACTCATGGACAAAATGACGCTTCATCAAGCATTTGCTGTATTTTTTCAGTCACTGCTAATGATGCAAAACAGTAAGCTAAGTTATCTGAGTCTCTGTCTATTTACTCATTTCATTCTCCCCTTGAATATTTGGCAGTTGGATTTAAGTACTCTGTTTAAATCACACCTTAAAATTTACCTGTTTAAATTACCCTTCTCCCTTTGGTGAATTATTATTTCCTTGTTGCTTTTGTATAATTTATGTATGGAGTTTCATATTTATTGTTCCTTGAAAATTTTAGTAAGTTAATCCATGTAACGTGACCTTAAGTGTCCCAATAGTCTACCATAAATAAAATGTATTATTTATTATTATTATTATTATTATTATTATTATTATTATTATTATTATTATTATTATTATTATTATTATTATGGGGATTTAGCATTTTGGTGGGGTGGTTGGACCCTCCTCCAGCTCTTCACTCTACAGTGACATCTAGTGGTGGCTGATCCAATAGCACTTCTTCCCAGTGTGTTTCATAACTCAACAAAGACCTGTAGCCTACAGAGCTGCAAGAAGTGGGGGTGGCTGGCAGCACACACTCCAGAGGAGTGTCGGCCTTCAGCCCTCCCAGTTTAGCGTTGGTGTTATGCACTGCAAAGGACAACCTCTGATGGGATTAACTGGGAATCCAAGTTTGGATGGAAATAGAAAAATAGTCTGACTAACACAGACATCCAGGGTTTTCATTAGGGGGGTCTGGCCTAGACATGATTTTGTGTAAATTCCTGAACATTTCTCAGAGCCAGCTCATATTTCCTATGTTCCCCCCCATTGATGGTCATGTGACCCAATTCCCCATTATGGTCTTCCTTCCCATTGGCCGCATGGTGCGTGGAGGAGGGGCTCCCGCCTGAACATGCGTGTGTCTCCCCGTGATGCAGGACAGAGACAAGCAGCAGGCTCAGATCGGGATCATGGTGGAATTCGCCATCGCGCTTATCGGCAAGCTGGACGGCATTAATCGACACTCCTTCAACAGCTTCCGCCTGCGCGTAGGTGAGCCCCCCCCCCCCCCCCCGCCCCCCCCGGCCTGGGCATCGGCGTTCCGGCACATGCCTCCGTACGGCTTCCTGTTAAATACAACTGCACTGCTGATGGCTTTTGGCATAAACTGATGGGAAGAGAAGAAGTTTTATAAACCAGAACTATGAAGGTGTTTTGTTTGTCCTACCGAATTTTGCCGATCGTCGACGATCACCCTGGTTAGTCGGTCTGGTGATGCACCTTCCCATCAAAAAGTGTCTGCATGACGATGACACTGATGTCCCTTTTCATGGCTAATTCATACTCAACTACTCCCTACCTGTGGCATTACAGTGCTGTATTTTCTCTGTGTTTTTCGAATGTCAGGTATGATCAACAACAGTGTCTGTGATTACTGTACTATAGCATCCATTCCAAGAGATAGAAACACTAAATAGTTAGTACAACCCTGTTTCAAAAAAAGTTGGAATGCTGTATAAAATGTAAATATAAACATAATGCAGTGATTTACAAATCATATAAACCCACATTTAATTGAAAATAGAACAAAGACAACATATCAAATGTTTTATTGTTTTTTGATAAATATATGCTCAATTTGAATCTGATTCTGGCAGCATGTTATTGTTTATAAAGGTTTTAAACCCCTGAAACAGAGAACCACACATCTGGTAACTATGCATAAGAAGAAGAAGAACGTTGGCATTAACGCCTTCCACTGGGGGGGGTTGTCCTACATATCCAATGAAACTGAGCTGAAACAGACCTCTTGTTTTCTGAAAAGCCTCAGATCTTGCTGTGAAACACCTCTTTGTTTTCTGGACAGTGTTCTGTATGAAAAACGAGCACCTGTGCTGGCATTGACCCAGACATAGTGGGGAGGGAGTGGGTGCCCAGAAGGGGCGGGGCTTTCCGCATCACTGACTTACTAGGCTGTCACATGGCAGGAATCAACCATGGGCCCGTGATCGCGGGGGTGATCGGAGCCAGGAAGCCCCAGTATGACATCTGGGGAAACACGGTCAACGTAGCCAGCCGAATGGAGAGCACAGGGGAGCTTGGCAAAATCCAGGTAAGATCTGGGTGTTTACAATGGCCCTAGTGCACCTCCTGCACGAGCACAACAGCTAAAAAACACAAGCATTACTGGGAATGTTTATCAAGAGTCTCTGGCTGGAGGTTCAACTTTAACATATGCATGCATTGTTCACAAGTAAGTGTGAATCATATTGCTGTACACAGGGGTGTGGCTAGAAATTCTGGGGGCCCTGACACAATGTCACTGCTACAGTTCAATGTGAAGGAATATGGGGTGCAACCTCCCAAAATATTATAAATCATAAATTACAATATGGGATGGTCCTGTGATACACGGGATGAGTGGCAACTGAACCACGCGCACAATTTTATGCATTCTGGGGTCCCTGTCAAGTGCTGGGGTACCCATGCTGCACTACACCCCCATCTGTAAACAAGTGAGCTTGACCGTGTGGCCTGTAACCGGTGAGCAGGAAGCTCTTCCTGTCTGAGCAGGTGACGGAGGAGACGTCCATTGTGCTACAAATACTGGGCTACTCCTGCGAGTGCCGGGGCCTGATCAATGTCAAGGGCAAGGGCGAGCTGAGGACGTACTTCGTGTGCACCGACACAAGCAAGTCCCAGGGGCTGGGCCTGAGCTGAAGAGGGGCGGGGCCTGTGCCCGGAGGCGGGGCCTGTGCCCGGAGAGGGGCGGGGCCTGTGCCCGGAGAGGGGCGGGGCCTGTGCCCGGAGAGGCTGCTGACATGCCACAGAGACCCAAACATTGGAGATTGGCGGGCGGAAGGGGGAACGTGGACAGACCCACCTCGGACCTGGAGCAGGAATAATCGGCCTCCCAGGCTCATGCCTGCATCAACGTCTTTACGAAGCTCGCTATCTGCAGAAGTTGGCTCTGATATTGCACACTCCTTGGAAGGACGTTTATGACCCCACCGTTCATCAGTACGTCATTGTACATACCCACTGCAGACACCTCGCCGCCGAGAGATGTGCTCCTCTTCTTCCCTCATCCTGGTTTCTAAATGTCTCTCTCTGTCCCCGTTCAGTGTTCATGCGTATGGTTCTTAGGAAAGAACAAGGTTATTTAATGCATCCGAGCCAAACGTTTTAGGTTTTTAAGTAGGCAGCTTACACGCCGTGTGTTCTGCGTGTTCTATTACTGTGTAATGTGGAGGGTGGAGATCATGTATCACGGGAAGGTTTCATTATCCGAAACAAACAATCTTACTTTCTGTGTATCATACACGCTTAGTTTTATCAGACTATTTTAATTTTCAGAAAACCTACTTACAGTGTATACACGAAGGGAAGCATGTCTTCAGTAAGCAGAACTAAATGCTTCTGGAAACTTCTGTAACGTTTTTAATTTCTTTTCATTCTTTTTTGTTAGTTTTTTTTACCCAGACACCTGGAGAATTCAGTTCCACCTTGATGCCTAATTCTGTGATGATGTCATGCTAACTCCATGCTAATACTTATGGATCTGATTACTGTGAATTGTGCTGTGTGTCTCGCTGCTGTCCAGGTCATTCCTGGCCTCCGGCCTTCTTGGGACTTCAGACAAGGGGCCATTTCTGTCTCAGCAGTCCAGACCAGTTCTTCTCTGCCCCGGTCCTCCTGTCCCAATGAGGATGCTGGCTTTTGGTCTAGTTTAGGTCTTAATTAATTGTCTCATTGAGCTGTGATCCAGCCCTTGACAAATGACTAAACAAAAAGCCACATATTTTATTTGGATAAATATGCGCAAGTATTTTTTATTTTGAATATAGTTATATAAATATAAAATTAACGTAAAGCCTTCAAGAACTGTTTTTCAAATCTGAGATACATCCAGTTAATATCTCAAACCTAGTTAATGAAGAGCTCATCTACTAAAAAGATTGGGAACAGCTGGTCTAGAGCAGCGTTTCTCGAGTCCTTCTCCAGTCCTTGGGGATCCCCAGACTGTCCACATTTTTGATCCCTCCCAGCTCCCAACACACCTGTACCAGGTATTCAGTGTTTTTGATTGGCAGGGAGCTGGCCGGGGACTGCGCTGGGACACACTGGGTATTCGGTGTTTTTGATTGGCAGGGAGCTGGCCGGGGACTGCGCTGGGACACACTGGGTATTCAGTGTTTTTGATTGGCAGGGAGCTGGCCGGGGACTGCGCTGGGACACACTGGGTATTCGGTGTTTTTGATTGGCAGGGAGCTGGCCGGGGACTGCGCTGGGACACACTGCTCTAGAGCATCTTATGTGGTTGATTCGATAGGACAGGTTGTAATATTACTGGAGTGGCTCTGAGCCGGTCCTGAGAATGTAACCAGCCCATCCACTTTCTCTGAGATCAATCAATTTGTATAACTGCTGCTTATTGATGTTATTAGTTGTCACCTGAGACCACTTTTTAATATGACTGCTCTGAAAGGGGTGGAGATGGGGGGGGGTCTGACTGTTTGGTTCAATACAGCTGCCAAAGAGTGTGTGGTAAGTTCAAGGAACACTACTGTTTACGGGGAAAAAACTGCCACTGTTATCACTCTGTGACTTTTATTCAGTGTTGCCATCTGTTTAGTGTGTGTGTAGGATTTTTGCCGCTGTGGCTGTGCTGTATATGCAGTCTCACTGAGGAACAAATGACTTAAGGGTTTTTTTTTTTGTATGGTGCCATTATGTAATAAATCATTCTCCAAGGGTTGTCTGTCTCGGCGAAAAACTGCATGGAAGAACAGAAGGTCGGCCTGGTTGTCAAGTCGAGGGCAAGGACGGCGGTGAAGGGAAGCGGCGGGGAAAATCAAAAGGGGCTTTATTAAAAGAAACTATGACATGGACAGGGCAAATGAAACAGACCACGAGGGATCGAAATGGGGAGGGGAGGATCAGGCAGGATCTTGAGAAACACAGGGCGCACAGGGCAGACTCAGGAACACACGCAGGTAGCAACATCAATGACTGGACTGGGGCGATCAAGACCGGGAGGCACTTCATGCATCACTAACAAGGGAGCAGACGAGGGGCAGCTAGAGTGAGGCACACGAGGAATGAAATGAGAGGTAAAACAAAATCAGTAACGGGTGTGACTCGTCAGAGAGGGCAGGAACGCAGGGCATGACACTGGTGCGCGATGCTGCCTTTTGTTTTTAAATCTGAGCAGAGAGGATGTGCAAGTCTGTCCTAGTCACATGACACAGGTACATTACATTAGGACTTTAGCAATGAAAACGGACAATATCTGTTTATTCAGCATATTTTTTGTTACAGTACAAATTGCCCACCTGGAACAGGAAGCACTAACTGTCGATATGGTTATGGTTTCGGGGAGATTTCAGCTTGCAGTTCAAGATGCATCCATATCTCTGCAATGTTTGCTGGTCTGCAAATGGCAGAGTATTAAAGACATGAGTATGAAATGGCTTATGAAGGTACAGCAATGTCTGCTGAGCTAAAACCTTCTTTTGGGGAGCACTCTAACTGCCTGGGTGAACTTATCGCATGAGGTGAGCTGCTATATTGAACTTCTTGGGGAGAATAATGGAGCTGCAGGTCAGTGAGCCATCAAGTGTCTTTGTACATCAGGCAGGTTTCAATCCGAGCCAATTCAGAAACATGGCAGAAGCCACAGTGCAGGTGCCAGATTCACAGCAGCCAACTCTAGATTCCAAAAAAGAGGGATGTTTCATCGGTGCGGAACAACATAATGAAACAAATTACCGAAAACACGGCATATGCTAAAGTAGGAAAGTAATGTACTTCACAGCTGGCTCGATATTTTTGGAAGTATTTCAATTTTTCGAGGTCTTCCTGCCTGGTGAACAATGCACGGCCAAAGACAGATCCCATGGCACATCCCATGGGCGTGAAATGTACCAGATCGTAGTAGGCAGTAGTCATCAAACATGATACCCTATTAGGTCTCATCCAAGTATACAATTGGGGACAATACAGGAGAGACTTATTATGGGACACTTTTGGGAAGAGATATTTTAAAATCAACTGAGATAAATTGATAGTTTTTAAAGTATAGGGGGATGATATGCAAATCTGATTGGTACATGAGTTTTGGATTTCTCAGTCTCTATCGAACACCCCAGAAGATTATGGACATGGAGAGAAGCCGGCATGGGATGGATCTCGCATCATTCAGTATTCTACTCGGATTCCTCAGTCTCAGTGGGCTGAACAGTGGACTTGGAACATGATGACTCAAGTCCTAAGAGGTGCTGACTGTACAGCAGATGAGCAGAGCCTTTGATTGTTGGGGAGTCCCAAGGGGCGGCAGGGAGCCTGGTCATGTGACCAAAAGGTCTCTGTCGAAGGGGAGTCTGCATTGGTGCCCTTGCACAGTTTTCTGAGTAAAAACACACACCGTGGTAACAAGTGTAGCAATCAGACAGATTTCTGAAGGCTGGGTTCTTGCTGCGTTACCTGTAAACAAGGCACTTATCCCAAATTTATATATGCTGATATTTTTTCCAAGCAAATGCACATCGATTTACACTCACCTAAAGGATTATTAGGAACACCTGTTCAATTTCTCATTAATGCAATTATCTAATCAACCAATCACATGGCAGTTGCTTCAATGCATTTAGGGGTGTGGTCCTGGTCAAGACAATCTCCTGAACTCCAAACTGAATGTCAGAATGGGAAAGAAAGGTGATTTAAGCAATTTTGAGCGTGGCATGGTTGTTGGTGCCAGACGGGTCGGTCTGAGTATTTCACAATCTGCTCAGTTACTGGGATTTTCACGCACAACCATTTCTAGGGTTTACAAAGAATGGTGTGCAAAGGGAAAAACATCCAGTATGCGGCAGTCCTGTGGGCGAAAATGCCTTGTTGATGCTAGAGGTCAGAGGAGAATAGAAGACTGCAAGATGCTATCCTATCAATATGGGCCAACATTTCTAAAGAATGCTTTCAGCACCTTGTTGAATCAATGCCACGTAGAATTAAGGCAGTTCTGAAGGCGAAAGGGGGTCAAACACCGTATTAGTATGGTGTTCCTAATAATCCTTTAGGTGAGTGTATATTTAAATAAGAATAATTTAAATAGCATTAACTGTATAAATTACTTTAGTTAAATGGGTCAACTGAACCACTCATTCTGATATGATCCAGTTTGCATGTTATGTATTCTCTATAAGAGCAGATGGTTCCCATTAGGGTTAGAATGTCTTGAGGAAATTGATGTCAATTAGCAGCCCAGTCACTGAGGTCACCAGTGGGTCCTTGGGCAAGGCCCTTAACGCCCAGATCCTGTGTGCTGCGATGGGGGGGGCTGCCCTTCACAGCCAGCTTGCTCTCACCTGCAGTAAACAGATTAGGGGTGGTGTAAAGAGAACTTTCCCATGGAGATCGATGGAAGTATCTGTTGTTATTAGATCCCAACTGGAGGATTCTGGAGGAACTTGAACTAGTATTTCTGGGATTGGACAGAAGCCCTGCTGACCTCATTCCATATACATGCCAGCATTTGCCATGTCCCACTGTCTCCCGTCTGCCTGTGTATGAGTGCATGAATATTTCAGTGTGAGACTCTGTGTGTGTTTGCGGAGTGAATGTGTTGGAAAGACCATACACATATATTACTGTAAATATATACCAAATGTCCCCACAATGTGATAAAAACCTGTCTTCTTGACCTTGTGGAGGACATTGTTTTGGTCCCCACAAAGAGAAACTCAATTTTATATAATTCTGTGACTGCAATCAAAAAAGTAAAAATGCCAAAATACTTTTACTTTGTTTGGTTACTTATGGTTAAGGTTAGGTCTAGGTAGGGGTTAAGTTTGTCATAGTTAGGATTAAGGGTATGCCCATAGAAATGAATGAACAGTCCCTGCAAAGATATGGATGCAAACGTGTTTGTGAGTGTGTGTGTGTGTGTGTGTGTGCGTGTGTGTGTGTGTGGGAGAGAGGGAGGAAGTTTCCTGTTGCCTCATAGGAGTCAAGCCCTTGGCAGGAGAGAGAATGGGGATGTGGAGGCCAGTCCTTTGCAGAAATAGAGATGCACACAGTGGCCTCCACGCTGGCATGCAGCCCATGTGGGCCGTACTAAGTCTGGGGGACAGTCATTTACACAGAACTGTTGATAAGCTATGATCTGCCTCTGCTTGATTAGTCAGAGTTTTGTTAAGTCACAGGGTACCTGCCACCCCTTCTGCACTATATCCTCATCAAAGCACCCACCCCCCCAATCTCGCTCCAGTGCTAAAATGCTGTCGGTTAATTTGTCCGGCTCCCCAGGAGAGAAATTTGGCGGCCTGTGAAAGTGATCCAGTGTCACGAAAACCTTTTAATCTCAAACCCCAGTAGATGTGGGGGACGGGGGGGGGTCAAAGCAAATACCCCTCTAAAGCTCCAGTTTCCATAGTGAAGCTGAGACTAAGAAGTCACCATAGACTTCATTTTGTTTAAATGTGCCAGCAGCCCTACAAAATCAGGAGAACTGGTCTGATTCAGGGATAAATAACAAAAGGCACTTCACAGTGTAAACAAACAGTGTGCAGTGAAGAGGACACATCTGAGGCGGACTCTCTTTTTGATACATTACCATCACAGACTCATGCTGTGCCACAGTAGGCTTTTCGCTGCCCTTTTTGCTAGCCCATACCCAAACATACCTACAGGTAGGTTTATGGGTAAGTCGCAGTTACTTAACTTCATGAAGGTAAATCCTCGACCAGGCTGTGAACATTCGTCATCTTCCAGTTCCTACCTTGTGACACTTTTTGATCAGAATCTACAATTGGTTAGAAGCTGGTGAAGTTCATGTCTGGACAAGTTACCTCACAGCTTGCTAAGAAACGTGCCGAGCTGGAAGGACTATGAACGGACTTCTCTGGTCACTCTAAAAATGTGGCTTTTTCAAGTCTACCCTAGTAGTGTTAAAAAAAGAAAAAACTAATATGTGTAAAAGCATCATTTGGTATTGTCTATTCTTATTTAAATTTAATAAATTTATCGAATGCTTTTATCCAAAGCACCTTCAGTACAGGGAAGGGTTAAAACTTATATATGTTCCTTGGGATTTGAACCCATGACCTTTGCATTGTTAGCACAATGCTCTACGTAAGCAGTGTTCATACCAAAATTAGTTTCTTATTCACGTTAAAAGCTATACAATAGTATCAAAACACACAATTTTTTTATCACATACATAGAGATTTACTGAGTCAAGTCAAGCTTTAAAGGTCAGTATTCACCCTTGGATTGCTGGATCCATCCTTCATGTCATTGTTCTTCTCTGTCTATATCTGTTTGAAACCCATTCTGTGTCTGGTTTTCCAGTTTTACAGCACAGACTTCAAGCCAAAATAAATCTTTTTTTATGGGCTTCTATTCATTCAATATCCAAGCACAAATGTTTGAAATATTAAGTCCTTTTGTTTTTCATACATCATCAGGCTGCTTTAGACATCTTTGACCAGCTCCATTTCAATACAGCAGCCAGTAATCCTCTAACAGAAATCCACCAAGCCGTCTCTGTCATACAGAGATCTTTTTGGCTTTTAACTTCCAAAATTCTTATGCAATGTAGTATCTTCTCCTGTACCATCCATGTACTTTGCCTTTATATAGCTATCATGCTGATAAAATCTGTTCTCTTAACCCCTCTCTACCTTTAAAGCTCTTTACTTTCCAACATTCCACCGCTTTCTGTCCTTCCTGGGATCTTTTAAGCAGGATAGGATCTCACACATTCAAACCTGCGCATGTCCCCCCGAGATAAACTTTGCAGAGTTTGCACGCAAGATCCGGCATGCCGGCATTCCGCTCATGCTACTCCTGCAGCATCTCAGCTCGTAAACGACAGCTCGCGAAATTACACCTTTTTTCCTGTCGAATTAAGACTCTTGCCTCCATAATGCATGCCTCTGTGAACCACACTCTGCCAACACCTCTAAAGCAGGTCAGTGGAGCGAGTCCATTTAAAAGCCAGTTATCTTCATGGATTTCGGAAGTAGTGATTTATTTTAACGGACGCGGATGATATGAGTGTCTTTTTCCAATGTGGGGGGCGCATTATCTTGACCTCCACAGCCCGCAGGTCGTTCTCTGAAAATGTACTGGTTGCAATACACCCCCGCAACGCCAGCCTCCACCTTCCTCTCCCCCTGACAGATGCTGATCTTCCCCAGAGTTCAAATCCCCACCAAAGTTTTAGCGGCTTCTCCTGGACAAGCTGCAGCCAGTTGGATAGCGGCCAGTGCTGGAGTATCCTGCCCTCAGGCGCATTGTACCAGCGGACCGTGTTCGTGTTATCCCTGAAAAATCCTGCTTCCCTTGCTCAGATACGCCAGTACAAGAGGCTGGACAGCGTCCAGCAAGCCTGCTGCTAGGGGCCCGAAATCGTGTGGGTTAAGAGCGCCCTCTACTGTTCTTACACATCAACCAGATAAAAACACATCTGAATACAACCAGGGCTCTTTAAATCTGGACCTCTATTCCAAATCTAGGCCATGTTTTCCGTTTTACCAGGTAGTTAGTTTAATAATTACTGATTCTGACTGGCTTCACACTGCAGGTCTATCTTAAAAACTTTTGTTTGGAGGAAGAATCTCAATAAAGATATCAGAGGTTTAGTTTGCATGTTTGTCTTTCAGAACATGTAAATCTATTGAACGAGTTGCTCTAAATCAGTGTTAACTTCCATCGCTCAGTGTATTACGTATGTATTGGAAATCCATAGTCTACAATTGTGTACATATTATAAATCTAAATTGCCCATGGAGTGTTTTTTTAATCAACTTTTAGTAGGATTTGGGTTATTACTGTAAAATATTATTATAAAACACAAACACTTTAGTTACACATGGGTAGATTTTTTATTTTTTTTTACTTTATTGAAGCCAAGTAGGAAATGCAGTTCAGGAAAAAATAGACCACAGTAACAGTTTCACTCATTTCTCGATTTATGGGTATGTACCTGTGTAAAATATACATTTTTTTTTTTAACTCCAGCCTGGTTCTTCTCTGTTCCTCATTAATGAAGGGCTTCTTTCTTGCTTTATGGGTCTTCAGTCCTGCTTCTAGGAGTCTGATACGAACTGTCCTAGCAGTGCACTTCACACCTGCACTTAATGTTTCCCACTCCTTTTGAAGGGCACATTAGGTAGTTCAACAATTCATGATAAGTCGGATAAGTTAACTTAACTCTGGCATTAGAAAGTCGCTTCCGCCCTCTACCTGGCTTATACGTGTTCCATTGTTCCCAGTGTCTCCTGCTTCACCTTGTTCTTGTGTACTGCAGTCTTTGAGACTTTGAGCCTGGCAGCAGCCTGCTGCTCAGCGTAGCCTTCTGCCAGCAGAACCACGATTAAACCAAAATTTAAAA